ACCTGCCAGGAATCAGGAAGGCGGAGGCAGAAGTGCTGACTGGGCCAGAAACCAGAGGCCTCGAAGCGCAGGGGCTGAGAGGGGGGGCGGGTTCTCATCCACAGCTTCCTCCCCACTCCCCTCCCTCCTGAGGAGGAAGGGGGGCTGACTCCCCCAGGGATCGGGGTGCCCTTTGTCCAGTGACCCCGGGTCTGGCCTGTGTCGTGTCGGCGGGACCCCCCACCCCCAGACCTGCCTTCCCTGTTCACCCAGACTGGGGGCCTGGCCTCCCCCATAACCCAGGCTCCCTGGGGAGTCTCTCATCAATCTGTCACCTCACTTCCATGTCTCACTGCCCCCAACACCAGTCCCAGAAAATTCTTTCCAATTCCCAGACCTGGCTATGCCCCTCCCTCCCTCTAAACCAGGGGTGGGCAAACTTTTTGACTCGAGGGCCACAATGGGTTCTTAAACTGGACCGGAGGGCCGGAACAAAAGCATGGATGGAGTGTTTGTGTGAACTAATATAAATTCAAAGTAAACATCATTACATAAAAGGGTACGGTCTTTTTTTTTTTTTTAGTTTTATTCATTTCAAACGGGCCGGATCCGGCCCGCGGGCCGTAGTTTGCCCACGGCTGCTCTAAACCCTTCCACGGCTCCCCAAGACCCCCAGCCAGAGTCCGTGTTCGAGGGTTTTCCACATTCCAGCTATTTCTCTATCCCCTCTGGCCTTCGTCAGTGCCAAGGCCGGGCCTGGGCACCCGCATCCTTCCCTGCCTGGCCAGCCTTCGCTCCCTCCTCAGAGCGTCACCAGCCCTGTCCCACCCTCTCTGGGTCCCCATCATCCCCCTGACCCGAGGGGCCAGGAAAGGCGCCGCCTGTCTGCCTGCTTCAGTGCCCTCCCCTTTCGGGCTGTTCACGTGGGGTGGCCCCCGCCCCCCCATGCAGAGTTGATAAGGGAAGAGGTGAGGTGGAGGGTGGCTGGGAAGGGTTAGGCAGGCAGGGCCCCTTCCCTGTTTTTATTAACTTCGGTTTCTGAAGCCATCAGGACATTCCCAGCCTCCCGTGGGGAGGGCTGCGGGTGGGGGGGGGCGGGAGAGGAACCGCCTGGCTCCGAGCACCGGAGGGGGAGGCGCCCAGCTGCTGGGACTCGGAGAGGGTGGCGAGATCATGGGGGCCTAAAACACAAAGCAGGCGGTCCTGGGGTCCCCCCAGCTGGCTGGGTGCCCCTGACCCAGTGAGCCCTGTCTGGTTCCTGGCCGGGACTCTGCAAAGCAGCGTGATTAACACGTGGGCACGTGAGGGATGCGGGGTCTTGGCCTTTCGGTGCCCTTTCTGGATGAAACTGGTCCCCTAACGTTCTGGGGCCTTCAAAGTGCCCCCAGGAGGTACCCAAGGTTAGAAGACAGAGGTTCAAAGTAAGTGAAGCAGGGCCGGGAGGAGGGGGAGGCCAGGTCATCCCACACTCGGTGCCCCTGGAGCTGCACCCAGGCCAGCCTTGGAGGGTCCCCGGGCACCAGACTGTGGCGGGTGACTCCCTGGGTCTGGTCCGCGTGGCAGATTCTGATCTCAGCGGAGAATGAGAGATGTGGCCATCTCCCACCTCCTCCCCACCCCTGTCTGAGGACCCGTTGCCAGGAACCCTCCCACAGGGGCTGGAGGGCCTGAACACGGCCCCCGGGACCCTGCAAATCTCCACGCTCTGTGGTTCTGGTGGTTCGGAGCCGTTGAGGAGCCTGGGTGGGTTTCTCTGTGCATCTGGGCCTCAGAGGGCCTGCGGGAGCTGGTGCTGTCCTCGGGCTATTTTACATTCTGCAACCCCCTCCCCAACACGCACCGGAAACCAGGGGCTTTGGTCCAGCCACCACCCTCAGACATCGTCTGTCAACACACTCCCCGCCTGCACACAGCACAGACTCGAACCCTGACCGAGGGCTGGAGCCAGGACACACGGGTGGGGGGCTGAGGCCACCTCCCACTCCACCAGAAGCTGGGAACCAGTCCCAGTTGTGGATCTGCCGGGGCTCGGTCCTCCACTGCTGTGCAGCCTCAGGCAACCTGCTCCTCCTCTCTGAGCCTCCTGGCCTCGTGCTCAGCCCACCTTCCTCCCAACCCTGATACACACTCAGCTGCAGTCATACCAACTCCGCCTCTGCTGCCACCCTCCCCGCCTCGCAGGCTGTAACCTGAGGTGGGTGCATGCATGCTCTACTGGGAGGCCCCATCACCTGTCCCAGGCTGCCTCGGTTTCCCCACCTGCCCCTGGCATCCAGGAGTCCTCTGCCACCTCCTGCCCACCTCCCCCATGGTCCCTCTGACAGATGACACGGAAGGGATGAAGACCAGGGGGTGGAAAGCTTGGGGTGACGTGATCCTGGGCAAATCCCCTCACCTCTGTGGGCCTGTCTCCCCACCTATACAAATGGGCCCAGGGGGGCAAGAGCCCATGAGGGTCTCCTGGCAGGAAGCTGCAGGCAGGGGCTGGGGCTATAGCCCTGGAAGGGTATTGGAACCTGGTCCCCCTGCCACACTTAATGGCCACCGCGCCCTGGTACGGCGAGGGGGGTGGCATGGGACCCAGCAGGCTGGCCTCTCCTGCACACCCAGGCTGGCCCCTCTGCCCTGGCCCACCCTCCCGCCACCAGCCGGCCCCTTGGCCCCTACCTGTGCCTGATAAATGCCCGCTGGATCCCTTGGTCCTAATCCCACAAAGGAACGGTTTGCAGGGGACGTGCCGGGCGTAGAGTAGGCTGCAGGGAGGAGAGAGACCGAGAGCCCGTTAGCAAAGGGGCCGCACGGGAGCACCCAGAGAGGGTGGCCGCTGCCCAGGGTCACAGAGCACCCAGTGCCCTCCCTTGGCCAATCTGGGCACCCAGAAAAGCCCACAGCCACGGCCCCTGGAGTCACTCGGGAGGGGCGTCTGCTGGGAGTGAAGGTGCAGGATGAAAGATGGATAATTCAGAAACCGCCCGTGAATTATTCAGGGTGTTCCACCGCCTGGTCCATCCTGCGACGGCAGCCTGCATCCCGCACTGGGCGCCATCAATTATTGAGGCTATTTTATTTATTAATTTTCCTCCTGGAGAGGCAGGGGGAAGGCTGGGTATGTACATCCACATATATATATATTTGTATTTTAATTTCACCCATCATTTTGTGGGCGAGTGAATAATTCATGGCTGGGTGCTACTGTGGGTCGGGGCCTCAGACAGGCCGGGACTGGGTAGGGAGGGTTTCTGTGTGGTCTTGGCCGGGTGAAGTAAGTGGGAGGCCGTGAGGCTCCAGGGCTACGCGGGGAAGCAGACTAAAGCTGTAGTCAGGAACCGGGTGATGGGGAGAAGAGGGAATCCGTGTTTACTCTGCATCTATTAAGTGTCTACTGTATGCCAGGCACCAGGCATGATCCCATTTAACCCACAGTGGCCTCAATGAAGCCAACATGATTATTTTCCCCATTTCACAGATGACAGTAGTAGGGAGTCGGTGATCACCATCACCGCATACTGACTCCACTCTGTGCTCGACGTTGCACTAAATGCTCTCCCTGATCTATTTCACTGACTCGCTCCCCACCGCCCCACAAGTATGGTGACTGTCCCATTTTGCAGCTGAGAAAACTGAGGCTCAGAGAGGGGAGGACATTTGCCCAAGGTCACACAGGGAGTGAGTTGCAGAGGCAGGATTCAAACCCAGCGCCCTGCACTGCATCTGGTGTTCAGACAAGACCCGTCTGTACCTGAAGCTGCCTGCGCCTTGGCAGGCAGTGATGCTGGGGGCAGGAGTGCTCATGCAGGAAGGAGGCCAAAGGGGCCAGATGGGACCGCTGGCCCTATGGCTCAGGCGGGGTGAGGAATCTCATTTGGGGAGCGAGTGACATCAAAAAGGGGGCGAGGGGCAGAATGAGGCCTCAGGGAGAAGCCTGGGGGTCTGAGACTACCTGCCCAACTGGGGCTGCTCAGCCTGAGAGGACGCAGGGGTTGGAGGCCCCAGCGAGGCCCCTGACGAAGTGTGGACAGCCCCCCTCACCTGCTCTGGAGCCCAGGGAGGGTCTGGGCACACAGCCCCTGCTGGTGGGTAGACCCCAGGACAGGGAATCTGGGAGTGGCTTTCCAGCCTGGAGCAGCCCCAGATGGGGGGAGTGCATGGGGCCAGCGGGCCGTAATCTGGAGCCATATCCAGAGAGTGCGGAGTTCTAGAAGGTAAGGAGACCAACCCAGGGGCATCGCAGCTCACCTGGGCCTTCTGGGGTCAGGCGGGCAGGCAGAGACCATCCCATTGATAGGTATGGCTCAGCCCAAGTCACTAGCAAGAATAGGGCCTGTTGGGGTCATTTCCCCACAAACTTTGGAACTCTGGAATTTTTATGTGAAATGTCAGGATTTTAACACAACAAGAGATTCTCATTTTCCACAAAGGGCAGCTGTGGGCCATGTCTGGCCTTCAGGCCGCCAGCTGGAGATCTTCATCTACTGTCAGCGGCTGCTTGCATGGAGGAGGGCTCAGGGCCCAGAGTGGGCAAATGGGGGCCCCAGGCCACTTGGCCCTGATGTCCCCTAAGGCTGCCCTGGCCCCTGGGGGCCTGACCCTGCAGCCCCTCAGTGGGGACTCAGGGAACTCGCCGGTACCCACCAAGCTGGGCCTGAACCCCAGCCCCAGCAGTCGGGGAGGGGAGTGGGGGGGGCCCCTTGGGGACGCCCGCCCTGCCTCAGGCACCGCTTCCCGAGTGCTTACAGGGCGAGGTCGGTGACGTGCTTCCTCCCTCGGAGGTGGGTTTGGTGGCAGGGGGAAGCGCCAGCCTCGGCAGCCCGGGGGGCAGGGGTGCCAGCATCTGAGCAGAAAGGCAGTGACTGGACATTTTGAGCTGACCACTTCCATTTAACTGGGGGGAACAGAGAGACAGGTGGTTAAGGTGGCGGCACCCCCGCCGCCTCGGGCTGCTGTTCGCGGTCCCGCTGGGGGACGAGGGTGGCATGGCGGGACGGGTTTGGTGGGTACCACGGGCCCGGCAGGCCTCCAGCATCCTGGGCCTGCACTGCCCCCGTCTCCTCCTTAAGCCACTTCATCCCCTCGCTTCCCTTCCGCCAGGTGCCGCCTTACCCTAAACAACATGGTGGCCTCACGGTGCTCTGCTTTCCTCACCCACTACCAGGACCTGGCCATCCATCACCTCGCCAGCGGTCCTAACATCCACAAAGCTCTGAACACCGAGAGCTTTTGTGGAAGTCAGGCCTGAGCTGCAGCCATAGGACCATGTCTGATTTCAAAGCGCTTCGCAAGATACACGCTGTCAATTCTAACATCTGAAAAGCCGAATCCTGAACCGGCCCAGCTCTAAGTGCTTCGGCAGAGAACCGTGGCCTCCGCCATTCGGGAAACCACTTACAACAGAAGCTGCACGTTAGCAGGCCCCCCGAGACCTCGCCGGGAGCTCGCGCGGCAGGGGAGGTCTGTGCCCCCAACTCACCGGTCCAGGTTGCTGGCTGGCAGGGTCACAGGCCAGTGAGACGAGATCTTTGAGCGGGTCCTGGGGGTTGAGGTGAGGTGGGTAGCGTATGGCTGTGTGAGGGAAGTAGGTGGAGGCCGCCTGGGGCAGGATGGAGGTGGTGGGGAAGTGCAGGGCCGAGGACGGGTGCGGGCTCCGGGCGATCCCTGCGGGGACGGAAAGGGGTGGTTACTGCGGGCTCTGCCCGGTCTGTCCTGCTCCCTGGGGCCGCACTGTGGGTGGCACCTGTATCTCGGCGCCTTTGGTAACAATGACAGCAGCCGGGCCCAGCAGGGCCTGCGATGGCCTGGCCTTGTCGTCATTCATACACCCAAACGTGCTGACTTTCACGGAAAGCCCTGAAGGTTCTGGCGCCATCCCTGCTCTCAGGGGTTATGTCCCCTGCCCCAGGCCACACAGCAAGCGGATGGCTGACCAGGGTTGGGGCCCAGGCCATCTGGCCCCACAGCCCACACCCTCACCCTGGGCTCAGCTAGCTCTTTCTGTAAAGGGCCGGTTGGTCAATATTTCCCGAAATTGAGATATAATTTGCATACTATACAAGGGTGGGCAAAAGGACGTTTGCATTCAACCACTTCAGGAGGCAGTGGGGCTAACCCACGCGGGTCAGTGTGGGTCCCTGAAATTCAGGTTTACTGATTTTCAGAGACTTTAAGCATGTGAACATAATGAAGCCAGCGATTTGAGCACTTTCAAGGTTGTACCTAAGTGCACTGTGCCATTCTTTTGCGTTAACAAAGCTGTTGTAATAACCATAACCTGCATGTCTTCCCATGTGAACAATTGGAAACCGACTTTTGCCCACCCCTGTACAATTCGCCTTTTAAAGTGTACATAATTCAACGGTTTTTACACACTCACAGAGCTATGCAACCAACACAACAATCTCTTTTAGAAAATGTTCATCATCCCCAAAAGAAGCCCCCCAGCCCCAGGCAAGCACTTCCTGCGTCTGGACCTGCCTGCCCTGGCCGTTCACATAAACGGAATCGCACACTGCGTGGCCTTGTGTGGCCGGGGCTCTCACTGAGCATCGTTTCCAAGGTCCATCCACGTCGTAGTTTCAGCGCTTCACTCCTTTTCGTGGCTGAATCTGTGCTGTTTGCTTTTTTTGTTTCTAAACAATTTAGTCTGTTTTACTACATTCACTCTCTAATTCCAGAGCATCGCCCCGAAAAGAAGCCCTGTGTCCATTCACTGTCACTCCCCCTCCCCTTTCCTCTCCTGCTCCTGGACAGACAGTCAGTATTTTTGGCTTTTGGGGCTATCCGGTCTCTGTCGCAGCTACTCAACTCTGCTGTCCTAGCCAAGAGCGGCCACAGAATGGGTCTGGTGGGGGGCCAATAAAACGTCGTTTATCAGAACAGGCTCTGAGGGCCATGGTTTGCCAGCTGCTGGCCTAAATCACTGTTGTGCTGATTTTCGCCTGCCTTCCTGTATGTATTTCTGCCCTTGTATGGAACCAATTCATTATCATCGTAACGGGGCAACAGGGGGCATTAGGGAGCTTATCACAATTTAACTCATTCAGTCCTATGACAGCCCCGGTCGGGGGAGCCCTAATTGACAGGTGACATTGGGGAGGGCCTGGTGCAGCGTGCCCGGCTCAGCTGACACCCTGTGGTTGCCGGAGCCTGTCTCCCTCTGTTATTTGTGTGAAATTCCTGTCTGTGTGGCCAGGAGGGCCCCCGGATCACCTGCGTGGCCTGTGTGTGCCTGGCCACACGCCAGGTATATCTACCTCCTTCTGCGACTGCCCCACACCATCGTCTGTGTATGGGTTATTCAAATGTGACATAAGGGAAACAGGTTAAGGGGCAAACCACAGGCTGTGTCTCTTTCCCATGCAAAAGGGGAAACTGAGGCCCAAAGAGACAGTCCGGCCTGGGCGCTCTCTACCACGGCACCTCCGGGTTTCCTTGCCCAGCAGGGAGCTATAGCGACAGGACTCGTGCTCAGACAGCCGGTGGGACCTCCCTGGCCTGGCGGGGACTGACAAGAGTGCCCGGGGCACCTCCCCACCAGGGCCCACAGTGCTCACCACTGTGCACGGCTATGACAGGCCGGTGGTGCTGGGTGAAGCTGGAGAGGCGCGGTGAGTCCTGGGGAGACGGGCTGTTGAAGGGTGACTTGTCCATCTCTGTCTTCTTCACCGGGGATGAGATGCCTGTGTGGGGAGGGGCCAGAGGGTCACAGGGCTGCCGGCAGAGTGGCTCCGCTCCCAGGACCCCAGCCTCCCTACTGGAGCCCCTGCCCCTCTTTCTCCCAGCAGCCTGTGGGCAAGGGGCCGGGGGTTGACTTTATAGATGGAGCGAACTGAGGCTCACGGTAGAGAAGGGAGCCACCCGGGTTTATGGCCTTGATGCCACCACAGGCCCCCCGACACCCCTACTGGCCCCGCCCCTTTTCTTGCTCCAGAGACAGGCCCTCCCGGGCTGCCCAAGCCCCGGAGAAGACGGCAGGGTGAGCAGACAGGGGGCCGGGCCCTGGCGAGCCGAGAGGACCCGGACAAGCCCCTAAGCTGCGGATCTTGTGCCCCCTCATCCTTACAGGGGAAGGAAGAAAACCCTTGCAAGGTCACCTCGAGGATGAAATGAGATATAAGGTGTGAAGGGCCTGGCGCACACCCACCTGCTGGCATTACCTGCTAACTGTCGTCCCTCTGAAGATGGGGGCCTCACTACCTCCCCTGCCCTGGCCCTCGGGAACCCTGACAGCTCAGCCCCTTCAACCTTCTGTGAGTAAATGAATGAACGAATGAATGGTGTAAAACGGGCACATGTCGAATCCATGGGGACCTGGCACAGAGCAAACACTGGCTCAGGAAGAAGCCGCCGTCACCATGATACAGAGGATGGACCGCACCAGGGCCAGGCACACGTTAGCCCTGAAGAAGTGTGAGTGCCCCTTGCCTTCCTCCCTGCACCCCACCTCCGCCAGCCTCCAAATGTGAGAGCTCAGGATGGTGGCGTGCCCCCCAAAAATGCAGATCCGGCCCCATCCCTGGACTTGGGATCTCAAAGAAGTGGGGCCTGGAGATGGACATGTTTAGAAATTATTTTTAAAATTTATTTTAGGGTGAAATGTTCCCATTGAGACCCTGATGAGGTTTGACTTTCTTGCCACCCAGCACAAGGTGCCCTACTCCAGAAACATCTCCCCAGCACTGCGGACACCAGGGCTGCGCTGGCCACTGTGCCGTGCTGCCAGCATCCCTGGCCCCCACCACGCGAGGCCAGGAGCCCTCTCCCACCCCCGTGTGACAACCACGTATGTCCCTAGCCATGGCCCAGTGTCCCCTGTGGGCAGAGTCACCCCAGTGGGAACCCCTGCCCTCCTCCGAGGCATGCTGTCACTGCTGCTGGGGTCTCCTGCCCACGGCTGTGGGTGGGCATCTGCACACGTCCCCAGCCCTGTCCCGCCCGCACACTGCTGCACGATTTCCCTTGTGGCATTTCCACATGGGCAGCTTCCTGTCCCCTCCTACAGCATAGCTTGGGGTGAACGGATCGGCGAGCCAAACCTGCTGCCCTCGATGGCCCTGAGGACGCACCTCGCTGTTTGAGGGAGCGAGTCCTGGCGTGTGGGTCGGCAAAGCCTTGGGAGCCAGGGCCCGGGCTTTCTCAGGGAACAGGAGGAGCGGTGGGATGGAGGCTGTGGGCAGGAGAGGAGGCTGGCCCTGCAGGCTGTGCGTGTGCGTGTGCGTGTGCGTGTGTGTGTGTGCGCGCGCGCAGGAGGAGGGTGGCAGGCTTTCTGCTGGTGCAGGGCTGTGGCAGAACCAGGTTAGGACTGTCAGATGCTCACTTAGGAGGATTTCCTAGAACAGCCTGTCCTGGATGGAAATAGCCTGGTGTGGACCCGCCCCCCTGAGCTTCCTGAGATGGGGCCTTTGGGAGCCAGGGCAGGGCATGGGGGAGGGGGAGCCCGGCAGGTGCTCCTGGGCAGGCTCCAGAGGTCCCCCCACCCGTTTGTTCAGCACACAGGCCTGTAATGCCCCACCTGAGCCACTGTTATCGGCTAACACATGCTCTGTGTCCTCCATCTGAGCCCCGCCTCTCCATTTAACCTGTAATATACCACCGCCATCTGAGCAGCCATCTTCCTCTCAACACATACACCTACAGGTCCCATCCGAGCATCCTGCGTACCCCCATTAAGGATATACACACGCCTGTCTGTCCCGCCGAAGCACAGACTCTTCAGGGAATAAGCAGGCCTGTATACCTCCCATCTGAGCATCCCTAGAACAACAAGGCCACCCCCCGCTGGAAGGCCAGCTCCACTGTGGGTCATTCGAGGTGACATGAGGGAAGCAGGTTGAGTGGCAAGCCACAGGCTGTGGGGGGGCCGGGGGGGAGAGGTCCACTCTAGCTGGCTGCTGGGTCTCCACCGCCCCAGCACACAGGGTGGTCAACAAGAGTGTGTGGCGAATGGAGTGCTTAGTTCTGCGAGCCCAGCCATCATTCAGTGAGCACTGACAACACAGTGAGGCCTCTCTCCCTTGGACGGCCCAGTGTCCTCTGGGGGCAGTCGCCCTGGGTAAGGACCCTTTGTGAACTCTGGGGCAGAACCCTCTGAGCCTGCTCTCACATCATCCTCACAACTACCCCATGCAGGGCTTAAGGAGTCACCCCCATTTCACAGATGTGATGACTGAGGCCTGATGGGAGAACTCACTTGCCCAAGACCACAGAGTTAACAAGTGGTGGAGCTGGGATTCAAATCCAACTCTGTAATTTCACAGGCCACACTCCACCACCCAGGGAGCAGAGGAGAGAGGCGGGGCGGGGACGGGCTGCTTGCTTCACCTCTATAACAACCATGTATGTGAAGGGCCTATGTCCCCAGAAGGGCCAAAGCAGCAGCAAAAACAAAGCACCCTGGGAGCTGAGCAGAAGGTGCCCTCTTTCTGCCCCACTTGGATGGGTAATCAGGGAAGGCCTCAGGAGGAGGTGGCCAGGAGAAAGGGCACTCCAGGCCCAGGCATGGAAAGGGCAATGGCCTGGAGGCTGGCTCATGGGGCCTGAAAGATGTGGCTGCAGGGGTCTTGTCTGGGTGGGGCTGGCGTGATCCCCCCAGACCTCTAACCCTCCCAAGCAACAGAGTATGGCTGCTGGGGGTGAGGGGTTAGCTGAGCACTGCCCTTGCAGCCACAACAGAAGGAGAAAGTACTCCAAGCAGCTTAATCCCCTTAATGAGCAGCTAATTGGGGGCTGTCTAGACAGGAAGCTGGAGGAAGTCAGGAGGAGGAGAAAACGGAACATAATGATGGGGGGGGGGGGAGACATATGAATCCATCTCCCATACTAGCTGTGAGCACCTGCAGGGCAGGCACAGGCGTACAGTAGGGGTTTCTACTGGGGCTCCCACAGGAGGGAGTGAGTTTGCCATCACTGGAGGCAACCAATGAACGCCAGAGGGAGACACACACCCTGTGACATTCCCTTCCAGCTCCCTCATTCCCCATCACACACCAGAAGCTGGTCTAGGTTTTCACCTCGGTCCCCTATTGGTGACACTTCCTTCTCAGGGCAGGAAGGTCGGATTAAGCCACAGTGACTAGCTCTAACATATCCTTCCTTTTAAAACTTGTTCTGTTTTCAGCTTCCTGAGCTGAAAGCTAGGTTCTTTCCAACCTTGCTCTTTTCCTCATCAATAGACTTAAGGCTATAATGGTACCACCTCTCAGGGCTGCTGCGGCTCGATCACAGAGGCTGTCTTTCAGCTCTAAATAGTATATACTTTATATGCAAACAGCCTCTTCAATTACAGAGTTAATGACAAGTGCTTCTGCGTTCCCAATCTGTAAATAACAGGGCAGACATCTCCCAGTATCTGCTCGACCCTTCTTCCTTAGTAACAGGACCCTTAAATTTGAGATAAGCACATAATTGCCCAAAATAAGACTACAGTTCCCAATGCCCCTTGTAGCAGAGTATGGCCACATGACTAACTCAGGAGCATAGAGATACACAGAAGATAAGTGCATCTTCTGAGAATTATTCTTAAAGGGACAGGACATGCCCAGTCTTGACCCTTCTTCTTTCCTGCTGCCTGGAATGCAGAGATGAGGGCTGAAGGTCCAGCAGTTGTCTCGGACCGTGAGGTGGAAATGAACATCTTATTCAGTGGATTATAAGGCAGGAGCCGAAGTCCCTCACATCACACTTGCTAGGGCTGCTGATGGCTGGACATTTACTGGCAAGAGAAAGGCGCTATCCCTTTGAGTTTTCTGTTTTTCATAATCAAACCTAAAGCTTATTGAATGCAGGGTCTTTTATAGAGACGGGGAACCCACAGAGACAGAACCATAGAGACACTCTGACCTCTAAGTTAAACCTGACAATACAGAGACAGGTCCTCCCAGAGTTAGGGACCTGCTCGGGGAGCCCACACCGTGGAGGGGGAGGAGACCTGGGACCTCAAAAGTCAACCAGATGTGTTAAGAGACTGATTCGAAGAGGTGGGAATTTTAAGACATGAGCAACAATAAACTCCCCTGCTTCCTGGACACTTATGTGCTACAGCTTCTCCACATACATCCTTCCACTTCCTCCTTCCAACTTTCTGAAAGAAGAGTTAGTCATCACTCCTGTTTTGAGGATGAGAAAACTGAGGATCAGGTAAGTTACATTACCTGCCTCAGGTAACACAGCCCACAAAGCAAGTCAGGGCAGAGCTGGGATTTGAACCTAGGTCTCTCTGGTGCCTGAACTGCCCTCTTTATTGTAATGCTGCTTTTTGAGAATCCTACAGGTATGGACAGATCTTTATGAGAAAGCAAGCTCTATAGCAGTGGTTCTCAACCTTCCTAATGCAGTTCCTCATGTTGTGGTGACCCCCAATTTCACTGTTACAAATTGAACATAATTAAAGCATAGTGATTAATCACAAAAACAATATGTAATTATATATGAGTTTTCCGATGGTCTTAGGCGACCCCCAAAGGGGTCTCGACCCACAGGTTGAGAACCGCTGCTCTATAGGGATAGGGAGGAGGGAAAGAGGAGAAGGTCGGGGGTGGGGGGGGGGGGGAGAAAACACATCCTATGGTTTATTGGGTGCTTATTAAGTGCCAGGTCTGTCCTAGGGATATCAGCTGTATCAATTCACTTAGTCCCCACAACAACCTGTAAGGTGGGTACTGCAGGTATTAACACCCCAATTTTACAGATGAGGAAACTGAGGCTCAGAGAGGCGGGGTCACCAGGAAGCTCTAAGAACTGGTAGATTCAAGAGTCCATTTCATAACCCTTAGGCTATCCCACGGGGTGAATTCTTGATAAGGGATAAGAGACTGGGTAGAGCGATGCTTCTAAAATTGGCGGTGGGGGGGGGGGGGCACAGACCCTGCTGAGAACCTGAGAAATAACAGGGATGCCTGCCCCAGAGCAAAGGCAGCCTTTGGGCCACTTTGCACACCGTTTCCTGAGTCACAGATGCTGGCCCACTGGAGAGAACCTTAAGGGATTCTTTAGAGGAGAATCTTGGTGGAGACAGGGCCCCCCCAAAAGGGAACTCTTCGGAGAAAGCACTTGGGGAGACGTTATGTAAACAAAGAATCCCCAGGAGCCAGCGCTCAATAGAAAAGAGACTATGGAACTGCTGACCCTATAAAATAGGAACCGCGTGGGAGAGAGCCTGCAGAGGTCCCTGTGAAGACAGAAGAGCAACAGAACGAAGCCCCCCTGAAAAAGAGCGCTGAGAAGAGGGACCTGGAATCACCCGGGGAAGATCCCCATGGAGGTGGGAGTCTCTTAAATATAGGACTTCACCGAGGACCCCAGTGAGAAGGGATCCTACATCTCAGGACCCCCTAGGTGAGGTCTATGGCAGACGCCTAGAGGAAACACCCTGTTGATCAGAATCGTTAGAGTCAATTCTATAGATCAGGAACCCCACAAAGACTGGTCCCTGAAGGGCAGAGAGCAGGACAGTCGGGCGTGGGAGACTCCCTCTACCCCTGCCGGCCTGAGCGGAACCAAAAAGCTCCGGGAACTTGAGCCCGGACTTGACTTCCAGCTGCGCGCAGCCGCGTGACTACAATTCCCGGGAGGCCTCACGGATCCAGGCCCGCTTCCCGCTCCCTGGCAAGCCAGTAGTGCCTGCCGGAATACGTAGTCCCCGCCGCGTAACCCCGACCGGAAGGCCGTCTCCACACCGCCGCCAGCCCCACCTCCTTCCATGTCCTCCGTCCAGTTTCGGCTGCTACTCGTGGGAGAGCTGGGCGAGGTGTAGTAATCGCCGCCGGGGCTGGTGTCTACGTCTTCCTCCATCGAGCCGGATTTGTGCCGCTTGCTCCTAAGGGGCAAGGGAAGAAGAGCGCAGGCCGGTTACCACGGAGACGCGGGCGGAGGCGACGGGCTTTGTAACTTCCGGTTCTTAGGGGGGCGGGGTGAGGAGGGTGCTCTCGCGAGATCTCAAAGAAACCCCAGACTTTCAGCCAGTTATGGTAACACCTGTGTCAACCTGCCTATTGCTTAGATGAGACACTTGGGGCCACACTGCAGGAAGCTAGCAGAGGGTGACCAAAGCCCTGAGGCCTGGCTGGTGACTTGGCCTGCTGTCGTCCTCTGAACAACCGGTAGGACTGTGATCCCATTTTACAGAGGAGGACACAGAGGCCAAATAGATGCGACCAGTCATGGTCACACAGCACATGGCGGCAGGAAGCGATGTCTTCATTGCCATGGAGCCTCAAGGTCTGGGCCTGTAGGACTCAAGCCCAGAGTGGGATGTCAGGGGAAGGAGGCACTTGGGTTTTGAAGGATGAGCAGGCATTTCCCAAGTAGACCATGAGCGCAGGCATTCCAAGGAGAGGAATGAATCAGCTGGGGCCAGCTCACGGTGGGCGAGGGGTCATGAAATGCCCAGAGATGGGGACCCAGGCACATACCCACTGGAGGAAGTGCTGGGTAGCGTTCTTCTCATGCCGGTGCTGGCTGGATTCAGGTCATATGCCAGGTGCCCCTGAAGCTCACCCAGCGAGAAGTTAGGTCCCGTTCCAGTCACCACAGGTGCTGCAGAGAGTGACAGGGAGGGGAATGAGGGAGGGAGCAATGTCCAGGACTGCAATTTGCCCTGGAGGGGTGGGGAGAGCCCCTTCCCAAACTGTCCTGGTTCTTAATTTGGCCAGGACTGGCTTTATTCAATAGATTAAAAACAAAACAAAACACCCAAGGCCATCAAGAGAAGCCAAGGCTGTGCTGTGAGGCAGAGGCATAGCCAGGGCTGGAGACCAAGCTTTCCAGCACTCCCAGAGGCTGATCTGGATGGGAAGATGGTGGTCAGGGTTAAGCAAAACTCCCTGAGGTGGAATTCAAATGGGGGTGTCTGAGAGAGTGGGGTGAGTCCCCAGTAAGTTCATAGGGAAGGCAAGGGGGCAGGAAGCAAAATGGGGGGGGGGACTCCAGGAAAGAGAGATGCCGGGAAGAAGGTTCTTCAGCCCCTCCCCCCAGCATATGGATTCTGTTTCCTGGGGAGGAGCATGTCACCCTGACCTTGGGCTCAGGGAAGGGCCTGGATACTGCCCTTCCTAGGAACCTTGGCTTGTGACTAGGTAGCTGGAGAGGACAA